AAAATCAATGGAAATTTAATCGGATGGCAATCAGAACAATCAACTGGAAATCTAGTAGATTCATTAAGTGATACATGTCGTTCAGTATCTCAATCAAATATAGTTGGTATAATTGGTCCAGAATTATCAAGAGAAGCAGTTATAATATCTCCGGTTGGTCAATCTCTTGGTATACCAGTTATAGCATATAGTGCAACCAGTCCTGATTTGTCTGATAAAATTGCCTATCCAAATTTTTACCGAACAGTTCCGCCAGATAATACAGCTGCAAAAGCTCTTATTACCCTACTCAATAGATATGATTGGACATCATGTGTAATAATTTATCAAAATGATGCATTTGGATCTGGTGGATCAAAAGCTATAAGTGATGCATTTTATAGAAGTGGATTGACGATAACACAAATGATTCTATTTGATATAGCAAAACGTAGTTTTCGTGTTGATTTACAAAATACTTTAATGAATTCTCCAACACGAATTATTATAGTATAGGCTGAAACAGTTTATACATATATTATATTAGAAGAAGCGCTTCAAGCTAATGTTGTTGGTCCACATTTCACATGGATATTAAGTTCTCATGTATCACTAAATTCTTTCAATATAGCATATAAAGATACTTTAATTGGAATGTTTCTAATTGAACCAACTGTTGGATCAGTTATAAATGCTCCATACAATATGACATTATTAAATGAAGCATATAAAATTTGGCAAGAATATGAAAATGAAACATATCCTGAACCGAAAAATGTTGACTATTATGCATTATTTGTATTTGATGCAACATGGTCATTAATTAAATCATTAGAAGCATTATGTTCATCAACAATAAATAATGCTTCTTCTTCATGTTTATCATTCAATTCATCTTCATTTTGTTACGATAGTCGTTTTATTCAATCTAATTTATTATTAAATCAACTTGATAAAACTAATTTTCTTGGTGTTTCTGGTCCTGTTCAATTTGATGAAAATCAAACAGATCGAATAAGTGGTTCATATTATTCAATAAAAAATGTTCAATCATCTGTATATGGTTTAAATTATGTATTTGTATTAGAATATTCTGACCCTGGTAATTTGAGAGTACCTTTACAAGAAAATGCAATTATATGGCCAGGGAATACATTAATACCACCTACAGGTCGAGCTAGTCTTAAAGGTGTTACCTTAAGAGTTGGTATTATTCAATCAGTTCCATATACAATAGTTCAAAAAACAACAGATTCAAACGGACAAACTAGACTAGAATATATTGGTTTTATACCAGATTTAATTGAACGATTAAAAACGGATATTGGATTTAATCCAATTCTCCAATTAGCACCATCAAATCAAAGTTATGATGGGTTAGTTGAAACAGTAAATAAAGGTGTTAATGATATAGCTATTGGTGATATTACTGTTAATTCAAAAAGAAGAAAATTAGCTGGATTTTCTAATGCCATATCTGAGACTTCATTACGTCTTATTATTAGAAATACTCCTGATGCCAATGTTGATCTTTTCGGATTTTTAAAACCATTTTCAGTTAAGCTATGGATATTAATTTTAGCTACTTGTATTTCTTCGGGGATTTTAATGTGTATTATTGAAAGAAAAGATAATGAAAATTTAACAGATCGATCAGTATCATCTCAGTTAACATTGAGTATATGGTATTCTTTTGCTAATATGGTTGGATATGGAGCAGATTTTGCTGCTAGTAATGCTGCTGGACGTCTTTTAACTAGTGGTTTATATATATTAAGTTTAATAATAGTTGCATCATATACTGCTAATTTAGCATCTAACTTAACATTAGCTAAATCGCGATTCGTTATATCTGATATTAATGATCTTAAGAGTGGAAAAATACCATCTAGCCGTATTGGTGTTCGTGTAGGTACAGTTGGTGAAGCTTATTATTTATCTCATATATCTGGCGGAAATAAAAACTTTTATCCATTAACAACCCGACAAAATTTATATGATAGTCTACTTGCTGGTATTATTGATGTATCATTTATAGATGAGGGAATAGGTATATATGTAATCAATAATGTTTATTGTAATTTAACTTTAGTTGGAGCTGGTTTTGATACAGGAGTTTTTGGTATTGTTACTCCAAAACAATGGTTATATGCACAAGATTTAGATGTTACTCTATTATCATTGAAAGAAACAGGTTATATAGATGATTTAATACAGAAATGGTTTGCGGTAAGAAATTGTCCAGCTTCAGAAACAACAACATCACATGCTATGGATATTGAACCTGTTAGTGGTATATTTATTATTTATGCAGTTATTTGTATTTTATCCATAGTTTTATTTCTATGGATTAAAAGGCGTAGTATTAAAAATGTTTTATTTAAATCAAAATCAAGAAAAAAATTTCAAAATAGAAGAAAACATTCAACGAAAACAAAGGCAGAGGAAAATTCTCAACAAGGAGAAAATCACCAAATGGCTTTACAAAATTCTACATATTTTTAGTCAAAAATTTTATTTATGTATTTAAATGAATCTTCTATCTACCAATTTCATTGAATTAAATTCGCTCTTTTTTTTAAAAAGAACAAAGTAAACAGCTTATTAAACGTCAATGCTATTTTATTGAAATAAAATTTTTCTTGAAGAATTTATTTATGCCTCACAGAATTTTGTTCATATCCATTTAAATAAAAATTCTGAAGAAAATTAACAGAGAAGACGTTATTTATTCAAATCGTTTTATTCGAAAACAAAAACGAAAAAGTTAAAACCAATATTTTATTTTATTTTGTTTTACTTTATTATATTTATCTTGTTGATTTCTTTAAAAAGCTGTCAGTTGTTGTTCTTGGGTCGTTCCATAGGTACTCAACTATAAAAACACAAAAGTCTCAAAAACTACTTTAACATATCCTATCTTGTAGAGAAATTAATGCTGATGATTTTGATTAAAAAATTTAGAAGCCGCCGGGGGCTTCTATTATTGGGGGGGGGGGTATCTTTTCGTTGGTGGATGTTTGATTTAATCCATAGATTTGCTAAAGTGTGGATGTTAGACTCTAATGTTGAGGCTGATAGGGTGTGGATGTACAGTGTGGGTGGGTGTGTGGATGTGGATGTGACTGTAAACCATTATGAGCTGACATTCACAACCATCCACACCTACACTAACCCAACTTATTTTGATTAGATTACAGCTATATCCAATTAGATAAGTAATGCTCCATTGTATTTAAGACCAATAATTGTACTGGTTCCACATTTTCTTTATCTTTAATAATTAAGTTAGCAGATCAAGGTATCAAGTCATATCAAATACTTATAATTGGTAAAAAGGAACATAAATTTATTTCTTTGTCGTCAACCTTGAATTCTAAATATTGAAAAACGCTACATATTTGAAACTAGTAAAAATACCAAGATATTTCCATTAAATGTCTGTTTACTGCAGTGGAGTCCATTTGGACCCCACTTGATAGTACCAAGGTTAGCGAGGCATCTGAATATAACGTCCATCAACTTGACGTCCAAAAAAGTATGATTTACCCCAAAAACCCAGAAGAACATCTAGAAAAAGTGAATGTTAGAAGAACCTCACGTATTGATCAAATACTTCAATTCATCAAATAAATTAAGTTCTGTACTATAAAATGTGAATCATCGAAATACATTTTCCCTTATATTGACATTAATAAATATTTTGAATATACAGAAGCGAAAAGTGACAAATGAAACTATACCCAAACTCAATAAGTGTATTGACTTCACATGGTAGAGCAAAACTCGAAACCAAAATAATCTAAACTCAACTCTCAAATGTCTTCGATTAGATATCGCTATTGAAAGGTACTAGACTAAGACTAGACTTTCTTACATCTCTCTATTTATAATAATACGATGAATGTTAATTATGAATATCATAAGAAGGAAATAACATCCAAGCTTACCTTGGTAACAGCAGCGTTACAACAATTCGGATATGGATATATCCGGATGTGTGTGTATATATATCTATGGCGTGTGAATGATATATTGCTTATGTTTCAATAAGTTAGTGGTAAACCGTTCTCTACTCGTATAAAGAATGTCATCACTCGATTCGATATGGGCTTTTCCCCTCCTCTCCTATTACTGAGCTGTCTTATCATCGATGATTAACACTGATATCTATACTCACATGGTAGAAAATATCACCATGATATGCGTTGTACCAAAACCCTTGATGAGACAACGAGAAAAAAAAAGAACTGTCTTTCTGTTCTATGAAAATAGCAATCTCGGATAGAAGATAATCTGAAAGATTTTGGTGTGGAGCATGAGATGTAGGTGTGAGTTTGAATTAAGATCAGACTCACACTAACGTCCAAACCTACACCCACACCTCACATCCACACCCAAGAGAACTACAATGGTCACCTGGAACAGCTCATGGTTACCATGCTTTAACTTATGGTTGGCTAGCAGGTGAACTTGTTCGACGGGTTGATCCAAAGAAGAGAACATTTGGGCAATTCGTTCGTGATGAAATTGCGAATCCATTACAAATAGAATTTTATATTGGTCTACCATCAGAACCAGAATATCGTGTGTCACCGATCGAGACTAGGTTAAACAACATTGCCATTGTTGATGAAAGTGTAATTTCTCAATGAAGTCCTTTCAATGATTATCCTATACACCAAGCCAAAACATCAGCTGCAAATGGAACAACAAATGCGTGATTCATCGCACGACTCTACGCATCCTTAATTAATGATTTAGAGCATGGTAAACACAAAGGATTTTTAAATGAAGAAGTTCTGAAACAAGCAATTAGATCGAATACACCTGAAAATGACATTGATATCACTTTTGGGACTCCTACCAAATTTGGCATGGGTGTTCTACTTTATGATAATATGATTACTTCACTTGGATTTTACGTTTTTGAACACAGCGGTAATGTCATTCATTACTAATACATGCTCAATCTTTTTTTAATATTTAGGATTGGGTGGAAGCATAGGCTTCGCTGCACCCGCAAACAATTTATCGTTTGTTTATGCTATTAATCGTATGCATATCGGTGAGCAAATCAGCATTGATGCTCGATATAAGTCCATGCTAAACAAAATCGGTTCACAGCTCAATGGAAGTCTTAAATTGTGATTCAAAACGCAGAAAAAATTCTCTAAAATTCCGTTATATGAGATGAGGTTTTTTTTGTATCGATTTTGTAGATGAAGATTTTCTTGAATCTCTATTCATAAGATAGCAGTTGTATCATCAATGATGCTAAAGCTAGAAGAATCCTTAATCAAAATTGTCCCAATCTGGCAGATCAATGAGCTATTTGCGGAAAGTGGGTGTGGGTTTTCATATACACTATTGTCTATACCTACATCCACACCTCACTAAATTTCGAGACAAACAGTAAGTGCTTTGGCCTATATAACAGACACGGAAGCACCATCGCTATTGACCGATGAGAAGTTAGGAGATATTAAGAGCTTACTTATATCTTCAAAATATTT